CCTGTGCTCACCTGTCCATACCTGGTCATACTTGGTCTTACCTGTTCATACCTGGTCATACCTGTGCTCACCTGTCCGTACCTGTGCTCACCTGTCCATACCTGGTCATACCTGTGCTCACCTGGTCATACTTGTGCTCACCTGTCCCTACCTGGTCTCACCTGTCCATACCTGGTCATACCTGTGCTCACCTGGTCATAGCTGGTCATACCTGTGCTCACCTGTCCATACCTGGTCTCACCTGTCCATACCTGGTCATACCTGTGCTCACCTGGTCATACCTGTGCTCACCTGGTCATAACTGGCCTCACCTGTCCATACCTGGTCATACCTATGCTCACCTGTCCGTGCCTGTGCTCACCTGCTCTCACCTGGTCTCACCTGTGCAGCTGATCGGGATCCAGGACGGGTCCCTGGGGGGTACCTGGGGGTTCCCTGCTCTCACCTGTCCGTACCTGTCCCAGCTGATCTGGATCCAGGACGGGTCCCTGGGGTTACCTGGGGGTGACAATGGGTTCCCTGGGGGTTCCCTGCTCTCACCTGGGGGTTCCCTGCTCTCACCTGTCCGTACCTGTGCAGCCGATCGGGATCCAGGACGGGTCCCTGGGGGTTATTGGGGGTTCCCTGCTCTCACCTGGAGGTTCCCCTGGTCTCACCTGCTCTCACCTGTGCAGCTGATCGGGATCCAGGACGGGTCCCTGGGGGTTATTTGGGGGTTGCCTGTGGTCTCACCTGGTCTCACCTGTCCATACCTGGTCTCACCTGTGCAGCTGATCGGGATCCAGGACGGGTCCCTGGGGGTTACTGGGGGTTCCCTGGGGGTTCCCTGGTCTCACCTGTCCGTACCTGTCCCAGCTGATCAGGATCCAGGACGGGTCCCTGGGGGTTATTTGGGGGTTACCTGTGGTCTCACCTGTCCGTACCTGTCCCAGCTGATCGGGATCCAGGATGGGTACCTGGGGGTTCCCTGGGGGTTCCCTGCTCTCACCTGTCCGTACCTGTCCCCCCCCGTGCAGCTGATCGGGATCCAGGACGGGTCCCTGGGGGTTATTTGGGGGTTCCCTGCTCTCACCTGTCCGTACCTGTCCCAGCTGATCGGGATCCAGGACGGGTACCTGGGGGTTATTTGGGGTTTCCTGGGGGTTCCTTGGTCTCACCTGGGGGTTACCTGTGGTCTCACCTGTCCCCCCCTGTCCCAGCTGATCGGGATCCAGGACAGGTACCTGGGGGTTACTGGGGGTTCCCTGGTCTCACCTGTCCATACCTGCTCTCACCTGTGCAGCTGATCGGGATCCAGGACGGGTACCTGGGGGTTATTTGGGGGTTACCTGTGGTCTCACCTGTCCATACCTGTCCCCCCCCGTGCAGCTGATCGGGATCCAGGACGGGTCCCTGGGGTTCCCTGGGGGTTATTTGGGGGTTACCTGTGGTCTCACCTGGTCTCACCTGTGCAGCTGATCGGGATCCAGGACGGGTACCTGTCGCTGCTCCAGGACAGTGGGGAGGTGCGGGAGGACCTGCGGCTGCCGGAGGGGGAGCTGGGCCGGGAGATCGAGCAGAAATACGACTGTGGGGAGGAGATCCTGGTACTGGGGGCACTGGGGGCACTGGGGAGGGACTGGGGGGCACTGGGAGGGA